TAAGTATAATAAAAAATAAAAATGGTATTTCCGACGTCAATGCATCATTCCGTCATTCGCAAAAAAATATATAAAACGAACAGCAATTACCCCTGTTGGAGTTAAATCAAATGAAATAAAATTGCACTTGCCAACATGCTATGAAACGATCAATCATTCTTATTCTCATTTTCATTTTAACGTGCAACCAACGAACCCTCTTTATCAACCCCTCTGTCAATAAAGGGAAAAACTTCCGTAAATATATTGAAAAAAATAATATACAATTTTATTAAGTGGGACATTTTATATTTATTAATTTTCGAATTTTCCCGGTATTTAATGAAATATGAATCCACCGACGCGCATAAAATTATAACGGCGCTCAAAAAAAAAATCAAGTGTACATGCACTTGATATATACATATATATTTTTTATAATAGACGTATAGAAGGTATAGAAGTAGTCAAGAAGGTGCTCGAAGGCATTGCCGAGCACAAGCGACGGCATATAAGGGGTATATAATTCACTAGCTTGAGCGGTTTGTCGGCATCTACAACAAGTCGTTGGCTGTTGTCAAGTTGGTTAGCGTTAATTGCAATGCTTCTTGGTCTATACACGATTACACGATTAAATAATTCCTCATTCATGAAGTTGAGTTGTGAATTAAGTTTGTGGATTATGTTTATGCTTTAAATCGTTTAAGTCGCGACAACTACCGACTTTTGGGTTAATAACAGGTTAAATTTTATTTTTTTAGAGAGAAATTTTTATCATAGATGATTCATAAGGTAAAAGCTCCCATTATTGACACTATAAGACTGATCATGAATATTTTAATTTTTTAATCGTATTTCAAATCAATATTGTCAACTTTTTTTTATAGGACACCTTAATCATTGTTTTTACTTATCTACAGACTCGGTAGAAGTCTGGTGCCAAGTACCGTTCAAACGCCAGCCTACCGAGTACTATACCGTAAGCAGAGCCTGATTTTAGGGTTAGAAAATTTTATATATTTATTATAATAATTATATTACAAGTTATGTTTTTTAATAATAGATTACATCTTAATAAACTGTTAATCATTTACTTTTTACATACTTTTTGATGAATTCTATTTTTAATTAATAAATTTAAGCAGCACAAACTATAGCAACGTAAATTTTTAGTTTTGGAACTTTTTTCGGTGCAAAATCTGACATCCATATTAGATTATAAAAAATGCTTATGTGCAGTAATTTCATAGGTAGACCGGAAACTCCAGTCTAAAATTGAGTTTTAACAGTTTCTATTTTTACACACTAGAGTGCGACGCGAGAAATTTTACATACACTGTAGTAACTGGATAAGTAAACTTTAGGCGCCAAGTTTTAGAATGCCAGACGTAACTATGAAATTATCTGTTTCGGTCATTAAGGGCTAGATTTTTCTATACAGCATTAAAATTATTATACTTCATAAAAAATATATTTATAATAATAATTTAAGGATGTGTCCACGTTCATAAGACTCATTTGAATAACATTGGCACTTTGCAAAAAGATGTGAAATCCGAACAAAAACAGTTTCACTGTAAAAAAAACCGCGCCAAGTCCACGTTCATAAGACTTCGAAAAAAATTAATCGTTTTTTACAAAAAAATATGAAATCAAAAAAACTCCAATTAATGTTTATAACTTTATTAAAAATATGAAAAAAAGTTAGTTGCAAGTTTAAAACTTAATGAAAATCTTTTTAAACGTACTTGGCGTGCGTCATTGAGTGCCCCAAATTTTTACAACTTAAGATATTAACGTTTTCTATATGTTTGTGCACATGAAATTAAATATCGCTCACGAAAAAATTTGGGCTGTATGTTGAGGGGGTTAGGTAGCTTACATTATGGCCTATGTCGTTAGTTGACGCAAATTAATTTTTTGTGTCCCCATCATTGACACCCGCTATTTTAAAATTAATTTTAACTCGATAAAGTATAAATAAATTATTATATGGTTATTTCGACTATAAATAATCTAAAATAATTTTAAACAATGCAATGACATAAAAGAAACATTGAGAAATCTTGATTTGAAAATAAGGCCTTTCTTAATAATATTGTTAAGAAATTACAAACGTACAAGCAGTTTTGGCCTACTTGAAAAAATGAAATTTTTTTGCGGTCAATAGTTTATACCTTGGAATTAAATTTTACTATTTTTTAATATTTAAAATATGTAAAATTGCCATGGAATATCAATAATTGTGATTATTAACAGATTCTAATAATGAAATAATAAAATTAAATAGGGTGTCAATAGTGGAGGCCCTGTCAATAATAGACTATTTTACCTCGCTTACGAAGCATTGAAAACGGAAATTTCGTCACTAATTAGTTGTTTGAATCGAATGTTACCATTTAATTTCATAGTTTGATAAATTTTCTCTTCCAATTAATAAATCCAAACAAAGAAACCAACAATTCGTAATAAATAATCAAATTGACTTAAGCAAACAATAAATTTCCATTGAAGGCACCAAGACTATTCCTTAGAATAATTCTGTAAGAGACATGTCGGATTTGTAGAGGAATGGAAAATTGCTATCAGTGACTGAAGCAGCCTCCATCTATCTATACCACAATACCGCGTTATTAATTACGAGAGATTATGATAAGACACGGACAATGAGCCCGTATTGAATTTAGCTCTGAGCACAAGTATTGAAATATGTAGGTGTATAGAATCCTACCTCCGGAGTATGTTTGAAGATGTAGGATGTTGGATCCAAGAAGTACGAGAATCTTAATGTCAGCGGAGATTGTCTTACACTGCACTGAAATTGGCTTAGACCTCCATCTAGACAATTGATGTATAGATTTTACTAAAGATTTCGTTTCAAGAACACGTTCAACATCAAATGCAGGCTTCGTATTCATTCAACCGAGCTGATAACATCAAGAACTAATTAGAATGGGGTTACAGAATGCTTCAAGAATTTCTGTTAACTTTTTTTTTTTAATTAGAGTATTATTAGATGCAAAGATAATTTCACACGAAAGCATGTCTGCTGACAGCATTTATAATTCTCCGATCGTGATTATTGATTTTAATGGTTACCCCGACCCCAAAGGGGAGTTTACTATCAAAGAGCTGTATATAGTCAGCTCAACTTTGAACTCAGGTAGAAGACGCATTGAAAAACATATTATTTTCAAAGAATGGAGAGATTGGACAAAGTGGCCGAAAAAGAATTTAATAAATTTAAAGAAATACTTACTCGACTACGGGATTCCTTTGAACAGAGAAGACTCGTATCCTAATCAGAAAAAGTATCTCATGAAAATTTTGAATAAGGAGAAGACACTAATATTCGTTGAAACTATGCTGAAGAAAATAATATTGCGTAGGATTATTGGCAAGGACTACAACATTAAGTCCTTAAGTGACTTGAAGTATCGACCGGATCATAAACGCGGAATAATTTACGCGTGTCAGTTTCATACCGATAGAGGAAAACATAATTGCGCCAAAGCTCAAGGAATTTTAATGCGCCAATGGTTTAATAGTGGCAGAAATAAGTTGGCAGTTTCATTTAAGCAAAAGCGGTAGTAAATGATTTAGTAACAAACCTTTCATTACCAAATATTTAATAATAGTTACTAAATCATTTATTTCCACCAAATAAATATTTAGTAGTATTTAACAAATTTTTATTGCTACTCAATAAATCGTTTATTGGTATTGAAGAAATTAATTTTTCAACTAATTTTAGTTAGTCTCAACATCGGACGGCAGTTGACTTTCGCGCGATGTGTTCTCCTCTCGTAACCCTTTTTTTTCACCATTTACACTTTTGTTGTAAGTTGCTTAGTTTTCGAGATATTTCGATTGCACAACTTGCCCCTACGATCAACTAGCCCCGCCCTACCCTACCTACTACTAAATATTATTTGGTGGAAACAAATATTTATTTCCATGTAATAAGGCTTTGTTTACATTAACATAATTTATTTAGATTAAAAAAATCATCTATTAAACTGTAACAAATAATATTGATAGGTGAAAAATATTTTTTTCTCTCAAATAAATGACTACAAATTTTGTTACTAAATCCTTTTATCAGTGTACAAATTATCAAATGACTCATTGTATGACATTTAAAAATTTTTTTTATTATTTATTAGACAAGCAATAATTTTCTTCAAACTTATCTAAAATGTGGAATACCGAGAATCCTAACGTAAAAATCGAAGTCCTTGTAGACTTTAACGGATATTTGAACAGTGATGACGATTTTGTCTTGAGAGAGTGCTTCATCACAAGCTTACAATCAAACGGTCCAGAGAAACTTTTCATTTTCAAAGATAAAAAAGATTTAGCCAACACGAGTTACATTCAACGCCAGAGAATTAAGGAGTATGTTAAAAAGTACGGAATTGATTTGAAGACCGGTTGGTACCACGTGAAAAAACAAAAAGCGCTATTGAAAAAACATGCTAAGTTTTTTAAGCTTACTTGGGTTCGCGATGAAAATAAAAGGGATGTGTTTCAATCGATTGTAGGTAAGAAAGTGGAAATTAAATGCTTAAGTGACTTGGGGTATGATAAAGGGACTAAAGTGGAGGACGAGAGGTGTGGGTTCCATGGAAAATCAGAAGACACTGAGTGTGCTAGGGAAGAGGCGGTCAAGCTGAAATGTTGGTTGATTCCAAAGCTGGAGACGATTAAATTGAAAGTTGATGATGATGATGTTCTGGAAAATCTTGATAAGTGGAATCGAAATCTTACGGATTTGCCGTACATGTAACTTTTAGAAAGGAGAGTATTTAATGAATTTTATTGGAAACATTTTGTAAGTTCAAATGTGCATGTCTTAAGCGCTCTTGTCACGCGAAAATTGATTAAAATTTAGATATACAAGTTTTTGTTTAAAATTTTAGTGACATTTCAAAATTTTTGAATAATTTTAAATCAAATTTCAATAGAAAAAAAAAATAATTTTATGGACAAAAATAATTCAAATTAGGTAAAAGCCCTAATTATTGACAGGGGTCTAAATATTGACACCCTAAATTATTTACAAATATATTTAATCATCTGTAATAAGAATAACTATCATATAAATTTTTAATAAATTCTAGTTAATTAAAAAATTGAAAAAAATTACTTTCAGTTCAAAATATTAAATATTAATTATTAAAAAAAAAAAATTAGAAAAACGGTTCACCCTAAAGGCCATCCCTGCAACTTCCCGCTCATTTTGTACTTAAACGCTTCAAACTACACATTATGTTTTTGAGCTCTTCGAGCTCAAAAATATTATTTTTACGTCAATTTGAGCTCTTCGAGCTCAAAAATATTATTTTTGCGTCAATTTAAGCTCTTCGAGCTCAAAACTCTAATAGCAGTTTAAAGACACAATTTTTTGAATTTTCAAACGGCAATAACTTTTGAATGAATGAACCGATTTTCACGCGGTTGGCGGCATTCGACGCCGTTTTTTGAAGCTTCATGGAAAATTTTCAAGTTTAAATCGATCGAGCCATGAATTTCGAAGTTATTACAAAAAAACACTTTTTTCGATTTTTTTCGACAACGATATCTCACGAACGCATCAACCGATTCTAACGTTTTTGGTGGCGATCGATGGGGGTTTTCAAGGTTAAGAGCTGATTAGTTTTTGAGACCGATTGGTTCAGCCAATTCGGAGATATTTAAAAAAAATAAAAAAAAAACTTTTTTTTTCACTTTTTTTGCATTTTCTCGAAATCTACCGGTCCGAATCGGTTCAAATTTTCAGGAAATCTAAGTTTAGTGAAGCCCTTTCGAATGACATCAACCGCGATGAAATCGGTCAAGTCGTTCAAAAGTTACAAGAGGTTTACATACACACACACATACACACACACATACATACAGACGTATGGACATCATCGTAAAAATAGTCAGGGAAGCTTCCTGTGACCTTCAAACGTCGAGATCTGATGAAAACTCGATTTTTGTTAAACGGTGTGAAAACAATAACTTCCCGATTTTTGAAAATATGAGATTTTTAGCGAGAAGTTAAAAAGTGAAAGATGCGCCAGTGTAGAAAATTTAAATAATTACTTATGTATGCAAATAATTATTAATCAATATGAGATTATCAATATTTAAAAAAAATTTCCAGATGACTGGTTCTTTTAATATTATAATTACTAAGTTAAATAATAAATTATTACCAAATTCACAGATGTTGTAAAAAGATGGACAAGCAAAGCCCGCTTGCTCAAAAGTTTCAACAAGACTAACCCGAGGTCCGCAATAAAGATCCTGGCCATCAGCAAGCACCAAGATGTTGTCGATCAAAGTCACAATCTGACTGCTAGGCTGATGGATTGAGCAAATTATCGTGCAGCCTTCTTGAGACAATCTCCTCAATAAGCTCATTACTTGGTATGAAGACGCCGAGTCTAGTCCACTCGTCGGCTCATCCAAAATCAAAACCTGGGGGTTTGATACTATTTCGACTCCAATTGATAGCCGTTTTTTTTCTCCCCCGCTCAGGTTTGCAGCTATTGTGCCCAGACATTCCTGTAGTCCCAAATTTTCAGCGACTTCGTTTACCTGAAAAAAAAATAATTAATTAGATGATAAGTAGAGCCACGATTTTACCTTAATTTTTAAATAAATAGTTTAAATGTTTATTAATTTAAGTTTCTACAAAAAATGTCTCTTATGATTTTTTTATTCGAAAAAAAAAAAACATAAGTCGTTCAAAATTAGTTGCCGAAAAAAGCAGCTGTACTAGGAAGGTACTGCACAAGCGCCTCTGGTGGATTAAATGTACATAATATCTATAATATAGATATATCATCATCCATGTTATTTTAAATGGATATATATAGGTATACAGTCTTGTAGTTTTCGTTTTTTATTAATTGTAATTAAACGACACTGAATTAATTAGCCATTCACATCCGGTGACCTAAAATTGTCGATTAGAATTAAAAAAAAAAAAATTTTACTCAAATAATTGATTTATTGACAAGTTACAGTGTTTCCGGAGTTTCATACATGACGGACAGGAAAATTTTTTGACCTATTTTGATATTTTTTTCCGTTTCTATTGCACTAAATTAATTTTTAGCAAGTATGGAATTAATCGTCATTAAATTATCTCGACAAAAGTATGCAAAATATCTTGATTCCGTGAACCAACAAGGCTATAATACTAAAAATAGTTGCCAAAATGGGGCGAAAAAAATTTTTCGATCGTAAAGCACTCTCTGATGCTTTGCATCATGAGTCGTGCAAAAATAAAGTTAGCGCCAGTTCAGTCAAATCTATCAATAGTTGGAATCGACCCCTTTCGATTTGGATAAATTTCAGTCAGAAGTTTTCTTTTATCATAGAACGAAGTTTTTCCAAAGAAAAAAAAATAAAAAAAATTTTTTCAAAAAATATGCAAATTCAAATTTTCGATATTTTATTTTTGTGATATCTCGAACGCTATTCTTGATACAGGAATGGCTTTTCGTTTATTTGGAACGGGACACTTGGGGCTATTGAAAAAAAAAAATTTTGGAAAAAAATTAAAAAAAATGCCAAATTTATCAAAGTCAATAATGACGATCTACATTAAAATTTTGACTCTATTTTTTTTTGTATAATACCTTGTACACTTAAAAAATTTTGAAATTTTGAAAACGGGTTTTTTTTTAAATATGAATTTTTGAATTACAATAAAAAATTTTTTTTCTGTTTTTTGCAACTTCTAAATAAGGTAAAGTGTATAAATTTTAATTTCATCACTTCTTTTAAGGTAGAGAAGGTGATTAAAAAATAAATTTCGGTAAAAAATTATTTTTTTCAAAAGTTATTGTATTATACACCTCTTTAAAAACATGAAAATTCAACACCATAACTTAGAATCACTTTTTATGCAAAAAATAGCAACTAAATAATTTTTTAAGTTCAGCGATCATTTTTCTTTCTAACAGTTACCTTTTTATACATTTATGGGTACATTATGACTGTCATGTATACGATTTAATGTGACAAAACGTTTGGATCTTGAATTTTAAGTAATACCGCGCTCGCGCTTAAGACCTGCAAAAATATTTCGATGCTGAAAACTTAAGAAAAAAAAAACGTCAATAATTACATATCCCATAAATATTTTTTTTCCGACCGCGGGAGTGATAATCATAGTCGAAGAGCAAAGGAGTAGCAAAAGAGCTGATGAAAAATGAGTTTAAATAAAGTATAGTATACAAAGGTTTTTTAGTCATGCGATTCGACAATAAAACTTGTGAGTTTAGCAGAGCTATATCGTAAACTCATCCCACTTTGTCTATAAGATAACTTGTTCTTTTTCTCTTACACTTAAACATATAATTAATTGCAATTGCTCCTTGGCACCCAACAAAAAGAAATAAAATAAAATATAATCAATAAGAGAAACTGAAACAAAAAATTGGAAAATAAACCCGTTGGTGAATCCGCGTATGAGAGTAGAAGAGGATCATTGGAGCACTCTTGTCTTGAAGCCTTTTTACGAGCCCTTAACCAGGATCTGTAGCCTTATCAGTTATACGCAGCAGCCATTTTACGAGGGTGCAAGATACGACGTATCCTCTTTCTCTCTTTCGTTCTCGTTCTTCGGAAGTAGGAGCTGCGAGCAGAACATGCTACCTATCATCATCTACATCTTCATCTCTGGAGCTTTTTCGCGGTGTACTAAATTTTCATCTCTCTCGCTGACTACGCGGCATTAACATTAGCTACAGCTCTAGCTTTTGCTTGGATCTCAAAGCTTGCTGATGACGAAGAACTACCATCGCACTCTTATTCGGTAGACTTGTTCACGTTTCCTTTGATGAACTATCGACTTGCATGCGACCGAATGGAAATTTGATTTCACCCATCGGCTGTTATTGCACTACATTGTTAGTTACCTTTTGGATGTACAAGCTGAGTCAAATATTGCTTTAATTTATTGGCTTAGTAACTTCAGGGGTAGGTGAGCGTGAATTTTCAAAGTTTTTGTTTACAAGAAGAGTTTTTAATTTGAAGATTTTGTAATTGTGATAAGCCATTCATGATAATGCATGATTTGAACATGATTATGCATGATTTGAACATGATTGTGCACGCTTTGAACATTATTATGCATGATTTGAGCATGATGATTTATAATGGTACATAATTAAGTTATTCATGCATGATTATGATAAATCGTACATGATGATGCATGATTATGATAAACCATGCATGATTTACGCATAATGGTTTATAATAGTGCATGAGTAAGTTATTCATGCATGATTATGATAAACCATACATGATGATGCATAATTTAAGCATGATGATGCATGGTTTGAGCATGATGGTTTATGATGATACATGAGTGAGTTAATCATGCATGATTTTCATAAACCAAACATGTTTATTTCCTTTACTGTGCATGGTAACGCATGAACATGATTGATAATTCATGATTGTTTATCATAGTTCATGTTTCGTACATGATTATGAATATTAATAAAACATGCATGCTTAATGTATAAATAATAATGCATGATAATGAATGATTGACAACGTTTCATGCTTAATGGTGCATGATTTTATTATAATCATTAACCAAGCATGACTGACGAATGATTCATGCACGATTATAATTATTGTGAATGATACTGAACAATTGTGCATGATTTATGCATCATGCATGATGATGCATGAGTGTAAATTATTCATGCATGATTATCATAAACCAAACATGCTTCTTTATATATATTTATCAATAAAATTGCGTAATTTATTAATTATTGTGCATGGTAATGCATGAGCATGATTCATAGTGCATGATTGTTTATGATAGTCCATATTTCGTACATAAATATTGTTATAAACATGCTTTATTTATTAATAATCATGCATGATAATAAATGATTCCCATGGTTCATGCTTGATTGTGCATGATTACAAATTATTGATGTTTTGATATAATTTATTAAGCATGATTTGTGCATGATGATGCATGACTGTACATTACAATCTATAAGCTATGTATGATTTGCTGAAAATGTATCATTTATTCATCATGGCATAAGACGATGCATGATTGTAAGTTATTTGTGCATGATTATCATAAAATAAACATGTTTCATGCTTGTTTAAGGATAATACGGCGCAATTCATTTTTGACTGTGCATAGTAATGCATAATTGTGATTATTGATGCATGATAGTCATAATATAACGCGCATAATAATAAGTAGTATTGAATCAATCATGTATGATTTATGCATGATCACGAATGATTTATGCATAATTGTTCTCAATCATGTACAACTTAGACGTGATTAAGTATTTAAATAATTGTGATAAAACATAGTATATGCGTGTTGATGAACAACAACGCATGATTTATTTATTATTATGCATGTCAATGGATGATTATAATTGATGGTGCATGATTTGTAGACAATTGTTGAAAAATGATTAGAAAATAATAGTCTGATGATTAATTAAATAATTATCAATGGTGGGGTTAACGTGATCATTTACAAAATTTTGTATTGATTTTAGTTTACATCAATTAATTAATATTTAAATCTTATCATGCTTGATATTAAAGCATTATCATGCATGCTGATTTAAAAATTTTTTTTAATTTAATTTGTTTTAACAGAAGCACAGTTTTCTTCAAATAGATGTTTTATGCCAGAAATATAGTAAGTGGCGCCATCTATCGGGAAACGCCAGAACTTCCAGGAAATCGTTGAATTAGATTACTGAATGTCCAGTAGTCATATGTCAAAGAAGTATTTTCAAAATGAAACGGAAAGAATTTACGATAGTGGTCAGAAGAATTTGAATATCCAATAGAGAATAACAGAATTGTAAGACATATTGTTAGTAGGCAAACAAGAAGATACAAGAGCGTAAGGTAAATGGAGTGTCTTTGGAATCCAGACAATTTCGACGTGAAAGCTGGCGTTTGTTGCCGTTTTAGCTGTAGTTGGTGATGTTGTTGTATTTGCCGCTGTGATGAGATAAGGGAAAATTCGATCGAGAAGGACATAAGACGGCTCATCTCCCCTCATTGGTTCTCGCTAAATCAGGAGAATTTCAAGTATTCACGGTTATACAAATACTGAATCTTGATTCCCCTTTACGACGAATACTCCGACTTCTTAAGGATCCACTCAGACTCGGAGAAATTGGCTAGATGTTTCTTAATATTTCTTTTTTTAAAGAAAAATCAATTATTTACCTTCAAATATTTATTTTATCGCGGGATTTTTCAGAGGATTTTGAGGATCCTTGAGCTTGCTATTAATAATTAATATGTATTGAATACTATGATACTTGTGATTTTGTATGCAAACAAGATGATACTGAGAAATTTTTTATCGATCAATTTTTGGACATTATCATCACTATTTAATTGAAGTTCTTATACCTAAAATTATTTATTATAATGTACCACAATATCAAAGCTACTTAAACTATTTTTAGTTAAATATGGGCATTATAGTCATCTTGATTAACTTTAACTCAGTATGTCTAACTCAAAATTTTAAGTTACTGTAACTCAATTATCCTTCGAGAGTGAATGATATACATTTCGTAGCTAATTTGTCATTGAACGACAAATTTTGGGAGAGGGGAGAAGAAAGGATAAAGGGAAGGGGGGGCCACATAGACATTGTCCGTAACTACCTTTCAGTCACCTGATAATTTTTTGTTTAATATGATAACAGAAAAATATTTATTAAAATATAGTTCATATAATTATTTATCAATACTAAAGCTAATGCATAGTTCGAGTCATTACAAAAAAAATTCAGAAAACTATATCTACAGACTCGGTAGAAGTCTGGTGCCAAGTACCGTTCAAACGCCAGCCTACCGAGTACTATACCGTAAGCAGAGCCTGATTTTAGGGTTAGAAAATTTTATATATTTATTATAATAATTATATTAAAAGTTATTTTTTTTTATAATAGATTACATCTTAATAAACTGTTAATCATTTACTTTTTAAATACTTTTTAATGAATTCTATTTTTAATTAATGAATTTAAGTAGCACAAACTATAGTAACGTAAATTTTTAGTTTTGGAACTTTTTTCGGTGCAAAATCTGACATCCATATTAGACTATAAAAAATGCTTATGTGCAGTAATTTCATAGGTAGACCGGAAACTCCAGTCTAAAATTGAGTTTTAACAGTTTCTATTTTTACACACTAGAGTGCGACGCGAGAAATTTTACATACACTGTAGTAACTGGATAAGTAAACTTTAGGCGCCAAGTTTTAGAATGCCAGACGTAACTATGAGATTATCTGTTTCGGTCATTAAGGGCTGGATTTTTCTATACAGCATTAAAATTATTATATTTCATAAAAAATATATTTATAATAATAATTTAGAGATGTGTCCACGTTCATAAGACTCATTTGAATAACATTGGCACTTTGCAAAAAGATGTGAAATCCGAACAAAAACAATTTCACTGTAAAAAAAACCGCGCCAAGTCCACGTTCATAAGACTTCGAAAAAAATTAATCGTTTTTTACAAAAAAATATGAAATCAAAAAAACTCCAAGTACTGTTTATAACTTTATTAAAAATATGAAAAAAAGTTAGTAGCAAGTTTAAAACTTAATGAAAATCTTTTTAAACGTACTTGGCGTGCGTCATTGAGTACCCCAAATTTATAGAACTTAAGATATTAACGTTTTCTATATGTTTGTGCACATGAAATTAAATATCGCTCACGAAAAAATTTGGGCTACTCAATGACGTACGCCACGTACGTTTAAAAAGATTTTCATTAAGTTTTTAAAGTTGCTACTAACTTTTTTTCATATTTTTAATAAAGTTATAAACAGTACTTGGAGTTTTTTTGATTTCATATTTTTTTGTAAAAAACGATTAATTTTTTTCGAAGTCTTATGAACGTGAACTTGGCGCAGTTTTTTACAGTGAAACTGTTTTTGTTCGG